TACATGGCCATAAATATGTATGTATCCTTGTAAAATATAGTGTTGTTTTATGTGTGTTTTTAGTTTACCTACATGGTATTTTGTTTAAAATCATTTCCTACTCTAATTTTTTTCTTTCTATACAAAGTATCTATGTTGGTATAAGTACATCTAGTTCATTGCTTCAAATTGATGCATACATTGTCCATATAGAGTATACAATGTAGCATTGTTTATAATAACAGTTTGAAATAGCCTAAATATTGCACACTAGGGAATGGTTAAGAAACCCTGGTACATCAGCAGTGTGAAATAACACCCCTCCATTAACGACGAAAGCTCTGGACATGATGGCAGACATGTTTATGACAATGTTAAGTGAGAAAAGCAGATAAAAACAACTACAAAAAATACATGTTCACACAGCCAAAGACTGGAAAGGATCAGAGAAAAATAAAAACAGCTAGGTATGGCAGAGCAAAGGAACTGTGGGTAGTAACATTTCTCACATACAATAGACCCTCCTTACCCAAGATTTCACTTTCTGAGGTTTCAGTCACCCATGATCAACCACGGTCCAAAAATATTAAATGTAAAATTCCAGAAAGAAACAATTCATGAATTTTAGATTGTGCACTGTCCTGAAGAGTATGATGAAATCTCCTGCGGTCTTGCTCCAACCCGCCTGGGACACAAATCATCTTTGGCAGATCTACTCTGTCTATTATACCCGCCCTTGAGTACCTAGTAGCCAGCACTGTTTGCCTTCAAGCACCCTTATTTTATACTTCATAATGCCACAAAGGGCAAGAGTAGTGATGCTGGCATATTGTTATAATGGTTCTATTTTATTGTTAGTTATTGTTGTTAATCTCTTACTGTGCCTAATGTATAAACTAAACCTTATCATAGGTACGTACATATAAGAAAAAACATAGCACATGTAAGGTTAGGTACTATCTGAGGTTTCAGACATCCACTGGGAGTCTTGCAACATATCCCCAGAGGGTAAGGAGGGATCGTGCCGTGCATGGGGTGTTTGGCCTATACACCACAGCATTTCCCACAGTAGTCTTGGGAGATGGGGTGATCAGGGCAGACCAATCTGCTGCTGCCTGCCCCAAAATTGGTATGGGTGCCTCTCAGCCAGAAAGGCCTCCTCTCCACCACGTGTGTCCTGCAGTCAACTTCAGTGTGTTTGTCTCACTCCATGGGAAACAGGTTTGAAGTTAAGTCTTTTCAGAAGGCTGAGATGGATTTTGTGCTGCTGAATGTAACTATATTCAAGAAAAATGGTGAACTAATACCTTTTGTAACAACTTGGATGGAACTGGAGACCATCCTTTTAAGTGAAGTATCACAAGAATGGAAGAACAAAAACCATATGTACTCACTACTAAATTGAAACTTATAGATCAGCACTCATGTGCACATATGGTGGTAAAATTGAATGGAAATCAAGTAGGTGGGGTGGGGGAGTAGAGGATGGGTAAATTCACACCTAACGGGTACAATGGTACTATATGGGTGACGGACATACTTATAACTTTGACTCAAACTGTACAAAATAAATTCATGTAACCAAAACATTTGTACCCCTGTAATATTCTGAAATTAAAAAAAAAAGATTAAACAAGAAAAGCAAAGTGCATAATAGTTATGTACATTACTCTACCATTTGTGCAAAAAATAAGACACATGAACTTGTATTTGCATAGAAAAATCCTGGAACAATAGACAAGAAATGTTAACACTAATTGCCTGGGGGAGGTAGATTGAGGGCCTGGGATAGGAGAGAGACATACTTTTCTTTAAAGTATAACAGGGACCACTTGAAGCTCTGACTCGAGGGGCATGGGGAGGCAAGGGCAATATATGTAACCTTAATATTTGTACCCCCATAATATACTGGGGAAAAAAAGCATAACCGGGACATTTATTTTCTTCTTCTTTTATAAAAAACATACCAAGCATTACATTTTCAATTAAAATGCTAATTTGGGGATTTAAACTTTAAATAGCATTTTAAAGTTTAAACACCAAAATTTCATGACCCTAACTTTTTAAAACATCACTTTTTAAATGCCTTAATTTTTAATTCATTACAAAGAGTTCTCCAAAATAACAAATTCACATTGTGAGCCCCACATCGTGCACCTCCTTTTAGTGATGAGGGCTAAACGCCATTTGAGGACCGCTGACAGGCGTTGCGAGTCACAACGCACACACATTCCGACGTCAATTGCAACGCAGAAAGCAACTGATGACCAAGATACTTTTTAAAAAGAATTAAGAGTTCTTAATTCACGCCTAAGAGTTACGTCAGGATTCGGATGCGACTCGCTGCAAGCGAGTCCCCCAGTCCTCGGAGTGTGGCGGGCATCGCCCGTCCCCCGGACCCACATCCCGCAGACCCGGGCCTCGCTCGCTCTCCCACCGGGAGTCCCACGGCCGCACCACCACCTCGAGGGAGGGTCACCGGGTGCTGCGACCGAGCGCCCGGGCCGCGGCGACCCCGCCCCGCGCGCCGCGTCACTCGGCGCCCTGCGGCGCGCGGCGAGCACCTACCACCGGCCGGCAGCCAGGGGAGAGGCCGCGGCCCTTCCCCCTGCCTGCGGGCTGTGAGCCGGTGCTCCGGGCGCCTCGGCCTGGCGCTAAATTTAAAAACGTAACTCGAGCAGCAGCCTGGTCCCAGGAAGAAAACGAAACTCGTCCCGCGGGCCGCCTCCCGGCTCTGCCGGTCCCTTAGCGCGCCGCGCCACCCGGAACAGACCCTTCTCCCGCCATTTTCGCGCGGCTCGGAGGCTGAGTGAGGCCTGCGGCCCGCGCGTGCCCAGAGAGGCGGCGGCATGGCCGCGGGCGTGGACTGCGGGGACGGGGCTCGCGCCCGGCAGCTCGTGTTCCTGCTTCCAGGTAAACACGCGCGCCCCCGCGAGCACGGCCTCCTGCCCCGCGCGCCGGCCCGAGAGCGCGCAGAGCGGCCCGGGCGCCCGCACCCCGCCGGCTCTCCCTACGCGCCCCGGGCGCAGACTGGATCCTCTCCCGGACGCTGTGCGCCGCGTCTTGGGCGCGCGTCACGGCCAGCCGCGGTTTTCAAACCCGGAAGCGCAGAAGAGAAGCGAGCGTGTTCCCCCACCCTGGTCCCCTGTGGCTCGGGCAGGCGGCAGCTGACCTCGTCTGCGCGGGGCCACGCGGGGTCACGCGGGGTCCGGCTCTTGGGTGCACTGCGGGGCCTGGGCCTTCTCTGTCTTTGGGGGTAACTTAGCGTCCCCCATTCGGCAGCTCGCTCTGCTTCTGCGAACCTTCTGGGTCGGAACCAGAGATCCAGTAGGCCTGGAGTGGCCTCAGAGAGGCTGCGCTGTCCTCACGCGGCCTCTGCCTGCACGGGCCGGGGATGGCAGGCCGGGGATGGCGAGGCAGGAGCAAGGCTGGGTGGTGGCCCCGGTGAGGCCAATGGTGATTAAAAGCGATTGGAGGGGGGTGGATAATGACCACAGGAGGGAGCAAGGCCTTTCAGCCCCCTGTGGATGGTGATGGGCCCTTCAGCCATGCAGGGTCTTGGGATAATAGCGGTACAGCTGGTGCCACACTAAGAGGGACCCATTAAGTGGCAGGAAAAAAAAGGAATTGGGCTAAGGAGTGCAAGCGGCTTGGCCATTTTATAGATGACACGTTTGACGGTATACATTGTAAAGAAGGAAAATCCCCTGTTCACTGTATTTAATTTTGAGATAGAGCTCAGCAAATGCTCAGTATGTTTGCAGTAAATATACTCTGCTACTGATATAGTTTCCCAGGAATCTAGATTTTGATGGTGGATATTGAAAGTGGTTTCATGACAGTCTGTCAATGTTTTTTTGCCTGTATGTTTAACTCCTCCCCTTTTAGCAGCAGGTAATTCACTGAACCTTTCGTATGTGTACACACCAGTAACCGTCCCCCAAGTCAAGCAGCATCTCCTCATGCCTGCTCTTAGATATCCTCAGTAACCTTTATGCTGACCTCTGTCCTCAGAGATTACTCTTGCTGTTTGAATAAGAGTGTATGTACCCCTTGTGTCTGGCTTCTTTCACTCCATGAGGTCTGTGAGATTCGCCCATGTTGTATGTAGTAGTGGTTTGATTTGTTGGTTGGTTGATTTTTTTTTTATTACTGCTTGTATTTCATTGTGTGAATATCCGTAATATTTATCTCTTCTACTGTGGATGGACATTTGGATTGTTTCCAGTTTGCAATATTATGAATTATACTTCTAAAGACAATCTTTTATGATGCTTTTTGTAGACATGGTCTCTCATTTCTCGAGGGTATAGAGCCAAGAGTGGAATGCCGGGCCCTAGGTGCTCACTTGTATGTTCAGCCTTACTAGACGCTGCTAAATGGTTTTGCACAGTGGTTGTGTGGCAGTTTCTCGTGCTGTGCATGCTCACTAAAGATATGTGGACGGTAAAACAGCTAACGCCAAATTCAGGGTTTTGGCAAAATCTAGGTAAGGGCTACCTGTATACATGCTTTTCATTAGAAAAATCCTCCTCACTTTTGTCTCTTCATACAATTCTATTTTTGGAGTAGGAACTATAATTATTCTTTCAGAATCAAGTGCATTCTTGTTACTCAAAGATATACAATAGCTGATGATAATTTGAGTTTTATTTAAAAGTGTTCTGTTTAATCAGATTGACATCTTCTTTCTTAAAGTGTGTTTGTATCCTCATTGTATTAATCACAAAACCTTCAAAAAAATTAAATATTGATTGCATCCCTGAAAATTGTAGGTTTAATATACCTACTGCTGGGTTGTGAGAAGAATTTCAGTCCAGTTCTTGTTTAACACATTTGGGGAGGCAGAGCAACGGTTAAGGAACTGATAGAACTGTGTGGTCAGGCAGGCAAGTTCTGTAACAGTTAACACATTGACTGCCACACTAGAAAAAAAATTTTTTTCCTTGGGGTCACCAGATGTTTTATTATGAAAATAGAATAAAAATGTCAAAAACAAAACCATCCTTTCTCATTTAATGAAAAATTTATTATTTTTTATTGTTTTCTGTGCGTTGAGTTTTATGCAACTTGAAAAAAGTTCAAGTGGCTCTCAAGGTAAAGAGACATGTGTTACATATGCCTCATGAGGCCGCAGGCTCAAAACTAGCGTGAGTTAAATGCAACTCACATGGTAGTTAATGTGTTAAAACTCGAGCCACCTTGTTTACAGCTGGCCTTTAGTGCCACCTGCAGGCTCTGAGGGTACAAACACGGTTTGATAGCTAGTGCAGTGCAGTAGTGGTTCTCAAACTTGAGGACATCAGTCACCTGGGGAGCTCCCCAACGAGGTTCCAATTCTGAAGGTCCTGGGCTGGGGCCTGAGAATGTGCATTTCTCATAAGTTCCCAGGTGATGCTGATATTGCTGGTCGGGGGACCCCTTCTGGGCCCACTGAACTACTGCAGTGAGGACCACTTCTTGGGAAGTAGATTAGGATCCAGGAATGGCAAGCCCTAGGTGCTCTATGTGGGGGGTCAGGGGAGTGCATATAAGTGCAGGGTATTAGGCCCATTTTCACAGATGTTTTTGTTGTTTTTTCCTGCAGATGGGAATTCAGCCCACTTAGTTATGCATTCAAGAGTAGGAGACCATATACCCTTGGCTGAGCGAGCACCATAGCACCACATTAAGGGACCAACAGTGAAGTTGGACCCTTAATAAGTAAAGCAAAGATTATTAAACTTTTTAAAAAGTATCGGGTGGAGGCAGTCTATACTCAGTTTTAGACAACTTCTGGAATCTGAAGAACTTACTCTGTATACTGAAAAGTGAGCATATTAACCAACAGGCCAATAGAACTTTAAAGTGATTTACTCATGAGATACGTGTAAAACCACCTAACCTTGTGATGATACCTTTTTCTAACATTTAATTCATATTATTTATCTAGTTGCTTACCACAGCACTGTGTTATATCTTGAAGGATATATTTAAGAGTTCGATTTAGGTCTCTTTGCTTCTAGTTTTCAATTTGTTGGGAGAAACCAAAGATCCCAGATAAACCAGAGCTGGAACTTGGAAGGGATACTTGTGAGGTGTTCAGACTCAGAACCTTGATTTTCATAGGCAAGTGGAGACAGAACTGCTTCCCCTTTCAGCAAGGTAAGCATTTCTTTTAGTTTGAGACAGTCTTAAATGTTTCTCTAAAATGGCCTGGAAATACTAGCCTGTTTGCAGTTTTAGTTACTACAGGAGGCCATTAACATCTCTAGTTTTTGGAAGATGGTAAAAGTTTCCATCCCTCTTTGCTGCCCTGAAAGTAAACGTTCGAATCATATTTTTAGTATTTTTCTATGTTCCAAGTGTCGTACATTTGTCAGTTCTGCTAAGTTGAGATGGATGCAGGTGTGCAAGGTCTGCTGATTCAGAGTGTAGGATAGAAGACTGCGTTTATTGCTGTTGGGGCTGAACCATTAACAGGGTTCATCTCCAAGGAAATGTTAAAACATTGGGAAATCCTAATGCGTGAGGGGAAAAAAAAGAACAAATGATTTCAGGACCTTTCAAAAAAAAAAAAAAAGACAACAAAACTCACTTGGGTCCACTTAAGCTGATTAAAATGTTCCTTAATTAACCCCCTGATTAAAAAGTCCTGAGAGCAATCTGGACTTCAAATTTTCAGTGGTGGGTAAATTTGACAATAAAATGATTCCCCTTTAGTTCATGAAAATACATGTTAAAAAGTATTTTAGGAAAGATTGTTATTTATTATTTATTTGCCCACAGAGAACAGAAGTAATGACCAGTTTCTTGGAGGTAGGGGATGGATTGCTTGTTGGGAGGAAGAATCCCAGGCCTGCCCACCTTAGACATTTCAAATAGAATAACACCTTTTTATGTGAGTCATCATGATGATCACAAATAATTACATCAGAGCTGTCTCTTCAAATGGAATGTAAAAATAGATGTGTAAAGATTGTAAGAATTCATGCTTTAGAACTATGTTCTAATTAAAGGATTAAAAAAGATATCAAATTTAAAATGAGAAACTAATTTTCTTATTTAATGATAGGGAAATTTATATTAGTGTTGTATTTTCTGATTATAGTCTCATAGCTTTTTGTAAGTCTGAAAGGAATGCATCTTGTTGAGGGGTGGGAAGTAAAAGTTTAAGCTATATGGCAAAGTAAGAACTACTATAGATGACCCTAAAAAAATAAAACAACACCAAAACTTTTTTCCCTTCTTTACTTACCTTAGGGCACATAGTTGATCTCAAATGAAAAATTTAAGCTGGTTTTTTGCTCTTTATCAAAACTGTATGTATGCATGTATATTTGTGTTTAGAAATATACCTGTGGGCTGACATCTTTACTCTCAGAAGAGCTTATTCAGATGGGAGGAAGCTGCGCTTCACTCGGCAAATGCTATAGGGAACCTGGCCAATTCAAGTTTTGATTCTTGACAACATCTGAATAATCAGGCTCAGCTTTTTGGAAGATCTGTCATATACTGAAGTCTCCTGCAGGCAGTCAGCAACCTAGGAGTCTCGGAGTTTTCCAGCATGGAGCCTGTTTAACATTTTCCACACGAATCCTGAGTCTGGCTTGGTCTTTATGAAACGTGGTTTGTTGGGACCTGACTGACCTCGCTCAGATGGCCGCTGGATCCGCTCCCCTCACTATCCGAGCACGTTCCGAGGTGGATGGACTTAATCACTTGCCAGTTGGTGTAATCAGGCTGTTTCCGGAGCCTGATCTTGTCCTCCTACTAATTGTTCCAGGAGACCTGGGACATTTATAAGTAAGAACTCACGACTCCCACATATTTATCCTCCAAGGCAGAAAAGAAAGTTCATGAAAAGAAAGTAAGCAGTGTTCATAATTTTTTATTTGAATAGCTGAATAAGGACTACATGGGTTCTCTCCCACATCCTCTGAGCTTTAACTGTGGTGTTAAAAACAAACAGCTCAGGCAATGCTCTCTAAAGCCTAGCTATCATAACACACACTTAAAAGCTAGATTTACACTATTTGCTAGCTCTGTGTCCTTGGGCATATTGCTTCATCATTATAAAGCCTTAATTTCATCATCTCTATAGTGGGGAGAACAGTACCAGTCTTGTGAGGTTGTTATCTGTGGTTCAAGTTCCTTGTACCCGAAATTATACCTCAAACTTTTGGCCCTGGGCCTGGGGCAGAATAGATATTCAATAAATATTTACTGAAAGGATAAAAGTCTCACATTCCATTTCTTCCTGTAGCGTCTTTGCTTACTCTGTCCTTTTTTCTCCCTTTCCACTTCTGTCCAAAATCTACCCTTTCTTCAAGGCTTCATTCAACTTCATTTTCCACAAAGCTAAGCCATTTGTTGCAGCCCAACTTCTCTGTCTTTGGACACCCATGACTTTGTGTCTGCCTGGGACTCTGCCTGTTCTTCCCCACTTTTATCTGCCTGGCAAATTCCTACTTATTCTTTAAACACAGCTCAAATGCCACCTCCACCAGTAAGCATTCCCACTGGGCCTCTCCTGTTAGTGCCCAGGTCAGTGGTCACTCTTCGGCCACCTGCACATTTCATCATGATCACTCATTTCATTATCATTTCTGTGTAAATACGGGTTGAACACCTCGTGCATGCCAGTGGCTGGGGAGAGTCCAGGTGTGTTCTCCCTGAGTAACCTGGGCACCTCAGCCTTCAGCTGCAGAACACACCCTCTGAAAAGCGCAGCATGCCACTTAGGACTTCAGAGCTTCCTTTGCGACTTTCTTTTCTAGGGATAACTGGTGGGAAAGGGAATGTGATGGAACCAGATATACATGTTCTGGTGCCTGGTTGATTATCTGCCCCCAAACAGCCAGGCGGGAGGCTGGCTGAGGGCTCTCTGTTCCAACTCCTGCCAGGGTCTAAATCCCAACGATATCTGTTAAGGTTCTCTGGCATCATCTGCTACCTACCTTTACCTGATTGTTTTTAAATTTTTGATTTTAACTCTTCATTTACACGTTTTTCTCCCAGTTTTTTTTTTAAATAACTTTTTTTCTGTTAGAATAATAGCATTTATCCAGTATAGAAACTTTAGTATGCACTAAAATAGTAAAGAATAAAATTATTTTTCCATATCCTCCCTCCCCAAAATAATAATTTTGGAGCTACTTCTTTCTAGTCCTTTTGTGTTGTACATATCACAAAATAAATTCCAGTGTTTTTAATTTTTTTTCTTTTCTATTTTTGCCTATTTCACCATTTACTCTTACTACTTATTTAATGTAACACTAAAACACTCAGGGAGATTGGGGACTCAAGAATTCTGTATGGTACTGTTTACTTCTACACAGAATTTGAGAAAGACAATTAAATTGATTTATGAAAGAGCTGGGAGCTGGAAATTTTTTTCTTTTGATAAAGACAGAAACTTACACAGTGGTATGAACCAAGTTGACAAAGAGAATTTATATTTCACACTTTGAGCATTGAAGAGGTATGAGTTTATTTGTATTATAGCACATATGTCAAATAAGTATTGCTTCATTGGGAGACAGTACATATTTGGAATGGATTATCTTTAAAAGTGGATAAAGATTGAAACTATAAATAGGTGCAAGAGAAGTGAAGATAAATTTACAGAGCTGTAATAGACACGATGGCAAACTAGGATTATTTTTATGTCCTATGTGTAAATCATTGGTATTTTAAAAACATAGTTTTCTAACAGATAACATGGCAATCTCTCAATTTTATAAACATGTTTATAAACATGTTTAATAGTAGCATGTGCCAGAGAAAGGTGTGACACAAGGAAATGATGATTGTCTTTGCTTGGGATGGACAGAAAAAGCTTCATATAAGAGAAAGCAAATGATTTTAGTCCTTGAGTAAAGAGCCACAAACTAGGATGTTTTGAAAGACATTCAAAACAGGTTGAATTTTTGAGGACTCCTGCAAACATGCTTTGGTGTGCTTGTCATAAATAGGATGCCAATGTAAATGGTCCCTGAGTCTGCCTCAGTATGGAAATTAATGTTTTTTAATGTGGGTGATCAGTGCATCTGGGTTGCATGTTACAAAACCAAACTTAAACTTCTTTGGGGGTTCTCCAGCAGGCTCACGGGGGTGGTGAAATGGTGTGAGCGTAAGGACATCTGGAACTAGGGTGCTGTGGCAGCCGGAGGTTCAGGGTCTCTGCCTCTGAGTGTTAACTTCCTCTTTTCAAACTGACTTCCTCCACTTAGGGGAAAACAGGCTGCATGTTCCACCCAAGCCTCAGATTTCCTGACGTCTGCTGGGAGGGACCTCCCCTCTAATCTCGGTTCCAATTTGAAACCTTTCAAAGAAGCCTTCTGACTGGCCCTGCTGTGGTCACATGCAGCCCCACCCATCACTGCCCATTAGCTGTGGCCGGGGAGCTCTGGCCAGAAGCCGTAGCCACAAGCGACCTGGCCTGCTTAAGTCCAACGTTAGGAGTTTCTCAATACTGGTGATTTTTTTGACTGGCTTGTGTATAGATATGGCAGAGGTTTATTTATATGGAAAATTGGGTTCTGGCTGTAAATTATACTCACCTTCACGCACCCAAGATTTATATAATTTTTAGGAAGCCCATTTCTTAGCCCTGTATCTTCTAGTTCTTATCACTTTGCAGCGTACTTATTGTTGCTCATTGTTATGCTGTTGTATTTGACCCTCTCAGTGACCTTGGGAAGCAGTTAAGGCAAGATTTGTTATTACCATTTTACATGTCAGGGAACCAAGACTCACAAGTCAAATAATCTGTCAACAGGAAATAGGAATTCAATGACAAAGTCTGTTGGCTCTCTGGAGTCCTTCTATAGGACCCTTGCTTTGTGCTGAAGGCCATTCTGCTGACTGAATGGTGGTATCTCATCATCACCATAAGAGAAGCAAGAGGACCAGGAAGGGCTGGGGTTCCCTCTGTTCTCAGTTTGATGACCAGGGACCGGGTGTATCTCCTCTCCTGGAGCCAGCCCTGGTTGCTATCATATACCCTCAGCCAGTCAGGTCTGTCTTTTCTACCTCTCCAGAATTTTCTGCTTCTCAGATAATTCATGCTCTATCTTTATGTGTTCCTGGTCTTTGTGGCTGTGAACCTGCCTTTTTTTATCAGCTTCTTCTCTAGTACACAGGCCATTCCTAGAAACATGGCTGTGGATGGGGACACCCCTGGAAAAAGAATGCAGATTTTGTCTTCCATGGTTTTAGTGAAAGCCAATTTTTAGCTTTTATTTTTTTTCTCCAAAGCTTCAAAAGAAAATATACTTAGAAGAACCATTACTTGGAAATTACTTTCCTAGTATATGCTCTCTCTTGCTTTCTTGGTTTGCTTTCTGTAGTTTTTGAAGAAACAGAGTTTCAAAGCCAGGAAAATGACCCAGATCTCTTTGACAGCAGTGCTAACATCTTGGGAAGGGTAGGCAAATAGTTATTACTGAAATTAGTGTTGGAAGCTGCAAATAACTTGAAAATTATGCTGATTTGTCTTGCCTGCATTGTATTTGTATTCTAGCAAAAAAGTGTTTCCAAGGAAGTATCTGGCAGTTAGGCAAGAGGGAACCAGGGGGTCTGAATATATTCTAGTGGCTGAAGTCTAAAGAAAATGAACTGGAACCTATCTAGGCCATAGTATTGCATGAGAATGATAATTTTATGTTGTTGTTTTTTTCTCCTATTGGATCTTCTTAAGAAACCTGAATAGGCTTGATATGGTATCTAAAAATAAAGTGAATGGTGCTTTGATGTCTGTCTTTCTCCTCTATGTAATAGTGGATGTGTTTCTCAGAGCTTATCTCCTATGTGCCAAAAATCAGACAGGGTCATGAACAAA